CTAAAAAAAATTAGTTAGTATTGGTTGACTTGTAGTTAGTGCAGATTTGTAAGTAAGCATACTTGACCAGACAACACCTACCACAGAGTGGGATCGCAATGAAAATAATTAGAGGGTCCCTGAAAAAGAAAACACAAAAGACATGAAGTCATTCACTTCTTTTACAAATGACCTGGGGTGTGAAGAATATCCTTGAGGTAGGTGAAAACCTTGCCGAGGAGGCAACCACCAAATATATAAATAATGAGATATAAATGTATTAGGCCTGGTCCACATACCAGCCTGTACAATCCTCTCCAGCAGGAAACATAACCAAGCTGCCAGGGACATTGAAATATGGCAAATTTGATCAGATGAGATCCAAAGAAATCTCTATCCCTCCAATGAAAGCCTAGAGTAAGCAATATACACCAACTAACAAACCCAACATGTCAATGTGACAGGGGATAAGTCACATGACACCAATGGATAAACAAATGGTGACATGAACCCTGAAACCATTCAGTGCCTGCAACAGAACATCAAAGAGCCTGAACGGGGCATAAAAAATAATACAGATCCATGTGTTCATAAAATGGAAAATGGAAGTAAGATGAATAGGAGAGAAAGCCTTATCCCCTTCTCTAGCAACTGAAGTTTTGGGAAGAAAGGACCTATCAGGATACAACAGATCATGAGTAGAATGGTAAAGAATCCTGTGAATATGAATCTCAAATAAAAACCTGTCCCATCCTGGTTGAAGCATCTGTGCCCAAAGACAGATGGTGAAGGACAGAAGACTAGAAGGATGGGAACTAGGCGTTCCAGTGAGTGGCAAAAGCAATGAACTGAGGCATCCTGAGATGAGAGCAGATCCAATGAAAAACTTGTGGATGAAGTACCCATTCTGTGGGAAGAACTCCATTAGGACAAGATAAATGATCATCCACTAATAATGGTTGGAGACGGCTTGAATGGGTAATGAAGAAAAACTTTAATATAAGTTTAACATAACAGCAAATGTACAATGTTTCAACAAGGTTTTGTCATCATCAGGTACATCATCATCATCTTCATTACCCATTCAAGTCATCTACAGCCATTATTAGTCTCAAAGTGGGTTCCTCGTCATCAAATTTGATCATCCACTAAGTTCATTACCTGGAACATGGTAAGCAAGGAGAATAATTTGATGATTGTGAGCCCAAAAGTAAGTATCCAATGTCTGAAAATAAAGAGACTTGGAGTGAGTGTCCCTTGCTTGGAACTGTAGGAGACTACCATGGAATTGTCTGAGTGAAGCATTACCACCTTCCCTCGCAACAATTTGAGAGGCTGAGACATAGCTTGTTGAACTGCTAGAAGTGTAAAAGATTGATGTGGAGAAAAGATTACTCTTCTGTCCAGAGGCCCTGGAATTCCATATCTCCTACACAAGCTCCCAATCCCTGGAGAGAAGCATTTGTGAAAATACACATTTCAGGACATGTATACAACCACTAGCCAAGATCAAGTGGGCTGGAAGCCAATAGGGTCACCAGACAATCCAGTACATCCTTGCAAATGTTCCAATTGTCCAGTAATGACCACTGAAGGGAATGTATGTGGGCTGGACCTAAAGAAACGAATGATTCCACGGATGCCCACATCCTCCAACGAGAACAAACATGCCAGTGGAAGAGGAGACAATAGTATTAGAAGAATGGCTTGTTCCATGGTCTGAAGGTGCAGATGAGAAGGTTGGGCCTGAATGAGACATGAATTGAAAAATACCACTGAATGGACTGTGTTGTAGTAAGAAGACTTCTCCATTTGGATGAGAAAACCAGATCTTGCAGCTTCAGATAAAAGAGCTCAAGTGTAAAGCTCTTCAAACTGTCAGGAAGGAGCAAGAATCCAGTCATCCAGATAATGGTGAATGTGCATACCCATTGAGTGAAGATGGAGGATCTGACTTTCTGGCAAATAGACGTATGGGATGCATGTGAGGCCAAATGGTAGAGCACGAAACTGAAAAACCTGTCTCTTATACACAAAATGGTGATACCAATATGAAGAGTCCACAACTGAAATATGAAGGTAGGCATCAGTGACATATACTTTGTCACCAGAGGGAAAGAAACAACTCTATGGTAAATCAAGGAGGCTGGAGGAAAGAACGTAGAGCAATGACAATTTTAATGTCAAAGTAGCCTAATTGAATCACTGAATATGTCTACATAGTAGCAACTGTTTTGGGGAACAGTTGTTTTTCCTTTGTGTAGATGCTTCTAGTTTGCATACAAACATAGTCCTGTACAGGCAACTTTTGGGTTTACCTTTGAATCATTTGAATATTAGAGTATACTGACTGTAAAATGTATGTACTTGATGATACAGGCTGTGCATGTAATTACATACAATAAAGGGTTATTGTTATAAATTTTAGTAATTCATAACGAATTCAGTGGCATATATATATATATATTTATTCTTATCCAGCTCTTGCCAATTGCATCCTTTTACTTCTTTTTGGATATTCTCTACATATTTAGTACAAAGCTTGCATCAAATTTTTGTTACGATGTCTTTTCCTGAGCTGTTCTTTTAAGAAAAAAAATCTAACTGGTCCACTGAGATTCTATTTTGCCAAATGTAGACACCAAAAAAGTTTTGCTGACTAAATTGAAACATGTTTCCAATTAAAAGTGTAATCAGAACTGAAATATGAGGATCTCTGATCAATATGATAGGCCTTGTGTCATGCAGAA